TGTTTAATATACAAATGTAGGACATATAAAGAATATAAATATTCCTACATTTGTATATTAAACAGTCCCATTCAAGTCAAAAATTGATTTTCCCCACAACTGAAAAACCAGTAGGCCAGGGATAGGGAACCTTTTATGGTTCACTCAGGAATTCTGGGAGTTGAAGTCCATAAGTGATAGAAGAGCCAAGTTTCCCTACCCCTGATCTAGTGGTTAAGGCACCAGGCTAGAAGCCAAGAGATTGTGAATTCTAATCCTGTCTTAGAAAAGTGGCTGGTGACTTTGGACCAATCATTCTCTCACAGCCCAACCTACCTCATAAGGTTGTTGTTGTCGGGAAAATTGGAAAAGGAAATAATAGTGTGTGTGTTCACTGCCTTGAGTTATTTTTAAGAATAATAAAGGCAGGAAGTAAATAAATACAATCTATGGCGTAGCAGAAATCTATCTTTCCATTCTTTTTGAAACCAATATAAGATAACTAACCCAGCCAATTCCTGCTGTAATTATAAGCCTTGTTTGAACACAAACTGAGGGTTTATTTTCAAGAAAACCAAGGGATTACTCGGATTTATCTCAAAAATAATACTTTACCTTAGCCCATCTAATGGGTGTCACCAAAATCACACTTCTTATCATAGCAAGTTTTCTGGTATAAGACTGAGAAAACTGCAGCAGTGGCCAAAGTATTTTAAAGATTTTGGAAAGCCCAGAAATAACATATTAATCTGAAAGTTCCCTTCCATCCTACATCAATGTGTTTTATTTACTTCATTGTGAATATTTGGAGAAATCTTGGAAAAAATAATCAAGTAATGGGTTGACAAGCACTTAGAAAGGAATATGATGATGCTAAAAGCCAGCACAGATTTTTCAAAATAGATAATGGCAGACAAATCTTTTTATCCAGTTAGTTTTCAAAAGAGCAACTAGATCAATAAACCAAAGGAATGATGTAGATATTGTACACTTAGACTTCAGCAGGGCTTACAATAATGTTGACCACTACTTCCTTCTTGATAAAATAGAATGATTTGGGAAGGATGGTTCCACTATCAGATGAATTCATAATTGGTTGAACAACCATACCCAATAAACAAATCTGTATCTACATGAAGGAGTTGGTTCTGTCTTAGATTCAGTGCTCTTTGATGTTTTCATACATGACCTAGACAAGAGTATAGAAGGGCTGTTTGTTAAATTTGCAAATGACACAAAATACCAGGGGATGGGGATTGCTAATACTTCAAAAGACGGCTCCGGTTTTCAAAATCCCTTGTTATGGAAGGGAAAGAATGCAAAGAATAGCTACAAAAAGGTCGAGAGGCCTGAAGGCTATGAAGAATGGTGAAAAGAATTGGGTATTGTTTTGGCATAAAGAAAAATAATAAGGTGATAGCAGTTTTTCAATGGTGAAGGACTGTCACAGGGAAGAGGATGTGGATTTATTCACCATAGTGCTCAAGGATTGATCAAGAATCAATGCATGGAAGATAAACCAAGGGAAATTCAAATCTAAAACAAGGAAGAATTTTGTAACTGTGAAGTCTGTTAAGTGGTGGAATAAACCTACCTCTGGAGTTGAGGGTTTTCCAACACTGGAAGTTTTCAAGCAAAGGTTGGGCAGCAATTTGTCTAAGATGTCTGAGTATTCCTCCTTTAGGCAGGGGATTGGACTTCCTTCCAATCTTACAATTCTTGTTCTGTCACAAGTATAATGGTTCAGCAAGTAGAAATGTTGAGATATTTTTTAGAAATCTATTTTAATGGATTAGTTTGATTGCCTCAGATAAAAATATCGATCTGGTTATTTGAACTCTACTGTAGTTTAGATAGGGATTCCCCTCTTGAAATTCATGGGGCCCCAAAGCCTGCTGGCTTTTAGGAAGGCAATTGACTTTTTAATTGATTTTTCTTAACTCCTTGGAAATTGCCCAGAATTATTGGCAAGCAGGCAGGCTTAGAAATTAATTAAGTAAGCAAATAAGCAAGCATGTGCCATTGCCTCCCTTTAAAAGAGTCCTGACTGTGGGATACTCTCCTACTATGACGTGGAGAAAAGCTTTTGCTGTTTTTTTAAAATAAACATTTTTTTCAGGAAGAAAAGATTAATAGGGACATGGCGACATCCCTGGAAGGGGTGGAGTCAGTTTTCCCATTTGGGGGCCTTCAGTGGGTCTGGTAAGTGGGTCTGGAGACGTATCATACCTCTTACAGTTCTCATTTTGAAAGAAATCAGCCCATTGTCTCTTGATGTTTTCCTACTGAATTTCAGCAGCAGGAAGAAATGTGGCAGGCCCTGGGGGGTTGCAGAAAAAATGATAGTAAGACCATGTGTGGCTTGGTGACAGTTGATTGCTCAACCTGTTCTAAAAGATAAAGGCAAACTACAAACATTTTCAGTATTAAGGAAACCATCTGTATTCTAAATTGCCTTATTCCTGCTTTCGATAGCTTATTCCCTGGGTTCAGAGATGCTTCACCTGGCTAACAGATTAGGACATTTTGCACAATTCACAGAGTACTACATTTAAACTAGTTGATCTTTATATACTTATGTTGCGGCAATGAAAGCAACTAGAACTTTAACTGACCTTGTTAAGTGTCCACTGGGTGAACAACTCTCATGACTTGCAACCATAATAGGCAGGAGACATTATAGTCATAGGTGGAGGATTACCTGTATAGTTAGCCCAGAAGAAATTGATTAACTTTATGCAAATTGGTACTTATTTGCATAAAAGGTTTGAACTAAAGCCAAATTGTTTTGAGTACTGTACTTTATAAAGAGAAAAAACAGTGTTTCCCTATTTCAAATTCTGGGGTATTTCTTTTCCATTTATTTGGGCGAGGCATATACATTACACTGTGTTAATAAACTGCCCCTGTATTTCATTAGGAAGTTGAAGGGGAAAACCCAGTGGCCACAGAATATAATTGGAAAGGTAGAGCAGTTAGAAGGTGTGGGTTTTGTACGACCTCTAGTGGACAGTCTTAAAGTCACATGGAGGAAATCCCCATTTTCCTGACAAGGCAGGGGTTTCCCTAATTGCAAATGGGAAGTTCCAGGCCGGCAGATTTAAAGACAGCATTGGGAAATATAACATTCTGGACTACTTTTACTTTACCTCTAGCCCTTCATAGGCCCTAGATTGAGAGAACTGATTATTCATCTGATTAGATTTAAAGGCCATTTGACTACAATATACACTTTTTTAAAAAGGGGAGAACAATGTAAAGCAAAAGAGACCACACACATCTGGCAAAACAAATGAGCAAAGCTATCAACTAACCTCCACAAGGCCTTGGAGGACAGCCTACTTTTAAAGACTTCGGGAACACCACCAAGGTGACAGCCACACAGGCTTCGGGGGTGGCAGGGTACTATTTCAGAGCACAGGAATCATGCCTGCTTCCTAAACGGCACTGTTTGACAGGACCCGAAGTGTATTAACATCTACTGGTGCCTGGCTCCAAGGGAATTTCAATAAATAACCAATTTTGTAATCAATTTTGGGGGAAACTAGTTCAGAATCTCCTGTATGTACTCTGCCCTTAGTTCAGAGAACCAGAGAACTATGTAGGACTGTCCCTTCCTTTATTGTATCATCACGATGACCTGGTTGTAGACCTGGCTAAGTGATCATATCTGACCCAAAACCATGTAATTAAATTCTATTAATTAGAATTTAAGTCTCTGTAGCCCATAGAAATGTTGATAGCCTAATCCATGCCGAGGGCATGTGAAATGCACCCAGATCTTTAAGAATTCTAGCTTTCAGCTTCCCTTGGATCACAAAACTCAAAAATTCATTTCACATGTGGCATTAAATATACAATGTAAAATGACTTGTACTGGCAAAGCCACAGTCAGTAACAGGAATAGACAATTATGTTTTAACTGAGGACTGCACTTTTTTCTTCTGTAGTCCTCACTTAGCAACTATAATTAGGAGGCAACATGATCGCTAAGTGGGAAATCACATGATCCTGACTGAAGCATATGAGCTTACTTCACCTTTAGTCGTTAAGTGATATAGTCACTAAGTGAAAAGTCATGCGAATGTGACTTACGATTTTATTTCCACCTTTCATACTGTACAACGTTAACTGCTTATCACAAGCGAAAATTGCTCAATGGTTGCAAAGCACATGAATAGCAATCATATGACTGCAGGATACGGCAACTGTTATTAAATGTGAGGATTGGTCACAAACGGGTTGTTGTTGTTGTTTTAGCATTGTCACAACTTCGAATAGTTGCTTACATGAGACAATCAAGAGTGGAAGCCTGTGTGGGTTTTTTTTTTCCGCCTTATAGGGTTGCAAAAGGTATGAAGGACAAAACTGGAGGATTAAGGCATGCTCCATGTCTTCATATTATCTTAAAATTATAAAGAAAACAAATTACTCACATAGTTAAAAATCCTAATTTTGCTGCCACTAGAATGTTCCGGGGACTAAACTCTTGCCTTTAGTGGCTAGCATGTGACATGGAATCGGCTGTGGTGGGGTACTTGTGAGTACACATACACATTCACACACATCCTTTATGAATGGTAAGTGAACTCAGTCAAGTATTCTTAAGAACTTTGCTTCCTTTCTCTTCAGACAAGATCCTGGCTTTCCACAACACACACACACACACACACACCACCATCCCTCTCCCCTGCCCCAATTAACTACAAGGGAACATTTCTCACCCAGGAGAACAGTGAGATGTTTCATTTTCATGACCAGTTTATTTCTTCTGGGTATTTGCCTCATACAACCAGGTACTACATATGGCAATCTCCTCTTATTTTCATTGTTAAAACTCTTCCTTCCCTAAGTAGAAACAATTCTCGGTTGTCTTGCCATCGCTGTTAAGTGAATCTGTACATTAACTTAACTGCAGTTAAGTTAATGATTCAGGGCACAGCTGTTTGCTGTTCACAAACAGGAGAGGGTGCAGTCTTTGGAGGAAAGGGTTATTTTTTTTTTTCACTTCTCCCTCTTCCCACTCAGAAGGAAGTTGGTGACCGACCTCCCCTCCCTCCTCCCCCAAATCTGAAGCAATGGAAGAAAGATGGCGGAGAAAACGAAAGTGCTTAGTAGCTCACTTGACTCAATTCTTTTGGCAGGATCCCAGTCCAGCCATTGTAAGGCTTATGCTGAATCCAAAGACTCGCTATGGGGAACATGCCTTGCTGGTGCCACTGGGAGAGGTCTGCCTCTCCCCCAGTCCATTCAAAAGGTCTATTCGTGGACGTCCCAGATCTCAGACAGAAGTGGCGGAAGCTTCTTATCTTGAAGGCGCAAGGCAAAGACCTGCTCTGAGTGCACGCTGCTCAACGTCCGCAGGCTCACCAGCTTCATCAGCATGCGGGGAAACATCAGGTGGTCCTGTGGGAAGAAAGGGAGGCCAAAAGAGGTCTGGTGAAAGGCGCGATGCCTTTAGTCAGAGTTGTGTCACTTGAGAGGCTCCAGGGCTGTGCGTGGTCCAGAACTTTCAGAAAGTTGCCTTTAAATGTTAAGTGCTTGAGAGGAATACCAACTGATTAAATGCACGGAGAACTAAAATTTCATTTTACCTACAGTTAAGAATCAGCTATGATGGCAATTGGTACTGGGATTGCCGTCACCGAGCGATGCGAAGCACAATGTGACGTGGCCGCGTTGCTCAGCGATGGCAATCCAGGCAGTTCCAGTTGCTGTTGTGGAGACACACAACAAATTAAGAAGGAAGCAGCAGCAGCAGAAGTCCCAGGTAAGGAATAAGGGGTGTGTCACAGGGGAGACCCAGCGCAGGTGGGGCGTGAGTTGGAGAGGGAGGTCCTGTGGAGCAGCATGAACGGAAGAAAGGTAAGGGAAAGAAGAGTCACGGTGTGCGTGAGCAAAGGGAGGGAGGAAGGAGCAGTATAGGTGAATGAAGGGGGGGGGGGGAGAATACTCTGTGTGTGTGTGTGTGTGTGTGTGTGTGTGTGTGTGTGTGTGCGCGCGCGCGCGCAGGTGAAGAAGAAGAATAGCTGGGGGAAGACTTGACCAACTTGTTATCTTTTCTGCTAGGTTCCCCATTGATTTTACTTGGGAAAAAGCCAGCAGAGACAGTCACCAAATGGCCCCCCCGTGACGTCAGGATCCTGCCACCATCCTAAATACAACTTGGTTGCCAAATTTGGTTTGCCCCAAATTTACGTTGACTGCAACACCCCAGAATTTCAAGGAGCGAATTTAAATCCCTTTGATTTTAAATCCCTTCGTTCAGTGACATCGTAACTTTGAAAGGCTGCTGAAAAAAATGAACTCTGGGTGAGATGGCGGCCGACAAGTCTAATAAATAAACATACAAAAATGAATGTTAAACGAGGCCTGACTAACAACCATTCATTTAGTGACAGATTCAAAGTTACAATGGCACTGAAAAAAGTCACTGGTGACCATTTTTTCGTATTTAAGACCACTGCAGCAACCCCATGGTTAAGTAATCAAAATTTGGATTCTTGGCCACTGGCGTACCACGGCTGCAGTGTCTCAGGATCATGGGATAACCTTTTGCAACCTCCTGAGAAGCAAAGTCAGTGGGAAAATTAAATTTGCTTAGCAATCACGATACTAACTTAAACAGTGGTAACGATTCATTTAATAACTGTGACAGGAAAGGGTGGTAAATTGGGGTGAAATTCACTTAACAATGATCTTGCTTAGCAATGGAAATTTTGAGCTGGATTTTGGTCATAAATTGAGGAGTATCTGTAAATTGAAAACGTTTTTTACTTAATCCTGCCCATCTATCTGAAAATAGTATATATGTTTGACTATGGCCTATGAAAGATACATGATTTATTAAGATACAACCTGAAGGAAAAAAGGAACTGGAAAAATTGGGAAGGGGAAGGAAGGAGCCATTGGCCTACTCAGGCTCTTGACAGGTAGTATCTAGTGAAAGCAGGACAGAATTGCACAATCCAAAAATGTTTCAGGAAGAACACTTGTCTCCACACCCTGTCACCACAGTCTAGCTATAGGAAACCGTCAGTAGGACTAGAGGCCTTGGGCCTTAAACTAGGAGGAATGTTATTTTTTTATCACTTTTCTTCCACCCAATGATGATAATCTATCCCCTTTGCTCTATGGTTTTCTCCCTCAGCATTCACTGCTTCCCTTCTCCCCAATCCAGATACCTGTGGCCGATTGAGGTGGATGTAAGAACTGAGGGCCTCAATGTACGGCTGCTGCAATGCCTCCACCAAGCCATGGTCCTGTACATTTGGCCTGTCAGCAGAGAAGATGTTGATTGCAATGAGAAGGGCATATTCGGCATCATCCAGCTGCAACTGTCGCATGGCCCGGGAAAACTCAAATATGGGGTTGATGAATTCGACCTGAAGACCTTGTTTTGGGGTGAGGGAATTGGAGAGGGAGAGAAATGAAACATTAGGGAACGATAGATGTCATCTAATTTTCTATGCTCAGACCTCCAAGTGTATTTGTTGTTTGTTTTTAGATTTCTATCCTACCCCACTTGAGCTATTTTGTACTGTTCAAGCTTATAAGTGCTTCAAAGCATAAATGCATAAGAGAAATTAAGTTTGGGATGTAGATAGACATGAAGATTGAAAAGACTCCCCAGAAGATGGCATCCTATAGATGCAGCCATAAAAATGAGGAGCTAATTCATTATAACGGTAACTATCTTTTAAAACAGAAAACAACATTGTAATTTCATTAGACAGTAGTTCAACCAGAGCATTGTTAGTGGCGCAAAATAATCTGAAAACCTGGCAGGCTAAATGCTTAAGATTATTTTTTTTTAAAAAAAAGCCAGGCAGAAGCAAGAGAAATAAGGTTGATACAGATTTCCTAAAGAAATTCAGTAATCATCCACAGCTACAAAACATGTTTTCTCCTTAACTAACCTTCTTGACTAGCAGTAAAGTACAATTCTTCAGCTGAATTCAGGATGCTGATAGTTTAGTAATAAATCAACTGGATTGGATGAATTTACCATAAACTGTCAGCATTTTGAACAAGGCTTAGAAATGAACATACAGTATAACTAAGATAACAAATGCTTGCTACAAAGTAACTCTAGCTATAGGCAAAAAGAAAATATGCGAAGAACAAATACTTTTAAGTTCCTCTAATACAAATTCACCCAAGCTTTCTTCCAATATAGAAAAAATTTATATAATATGACGTGTAAACAACTGTTCCTTTACAGAGGAAGGACGATAGAAACTAAACTAGAGAGCCTGAACTAACACACCCTTTTCACTGCACAATAAAGATCCCAGAATCAAGACCAGACATGCAAAAGATACAAAGGACAATCTGAGTTATTTCCAAATATTTAGGTCTTGCCTCATAGGTTCACCTCTGCAAAAGGATGATTAGAAACAAATGCAAACTCTCATTAAATATGAAAGCTCAGTAATATTTACGACACCTTTTCACTTGAGATGTGAAACATGGAATCAGAAGAAATCACCCAGAAATACATCACTGGTCCACCCATATTTATCCCTTTGGAAATATATTAGTAACCTCAAATATATTTTTGAAAAATAAAATCTATCTCCATCTCGGTAAGAACTTTAAACAAAACACATTTTGGGAAAATACAAAATATATATTTCTAGACAAAATAGTAATTCTGCTTACTTTGAAATCTACTCAAAATGTATAGATTTGACTGCATAACTTGGGCTAGCAAGAAGCTTCTCTGGAATGGAGAATTAACCAACATTCACATATGCTAGGTTCTCAATTTCTCCATTTTGTATCTAAGGGGAGTCATAATGTGCCAAGAATCCAAATGCCAGAAAAGGAACTGCTAAGATTTTGCCTTCTATATGGGAATAGGGCCTCTTCTTTAAGCAGAGATAACCATCCTGGGCAATTTAATAAAACATATGAAACTAAAACCTCTCTTTTGTGAGGTTTTATCAGATGTGAGATTTATGTGTGAAGTATGATTATTTATACTGTCAAGGCAATTTTCTCAAATCTGGTTCTCCTCATGTTTATATCACAATTCCCATCACTCCCAGCCAGCTAATTCTTCTTGGGTGGACCCAGGAATTTTTTGGGAGTAGCTTCTACCATTCCATACACAATTTTGATTCCCCCCACCCCTCTGGCTGCAGATTTCTTGCCTACATCACCCCGTCATGAATTACTTTTCACTCACCTGCACGGTGAAAGTCATCCTTGCTGTATGTAAAATCTTTAAGAAATGTAATGCACTGAGTCTCATGATTATAGCGCCGGGCTGTCTCTAGTAACATGATCTAAGAAGACAAGCATGTGTCAAAGAACAGCTATTGCCCTTCTAAAAAAACTATTTGTGGTATGTGTTTAGGTAGATAACTTAATATACCACATGCTTATTAATTCTCTGGAAAGCTAAACTCTCCTTCCTTTTCTCTGCTTAAAAAAATTATATCCTTTCCCATTCTGGGGCCCTAAAAAGCAGAAGCAGCACACAATGCAGTACACAGTTCAATACAGTAAAAGCAGTGTTAACAGCAAGTATCATAAATACCCACTCTGTGTTCATAGAAAAGTTTTTACAGCACACCCTAATTCTCATAGACAATAGTCTTTGTACCTGGATTATAAAACTACAGAGCCACGTTTTAAAATTCTATTTGAAAAACTTTGAATAGAGAAATTATTGTTATTTTGCTTTAAGATCAGGAAGTAATGATCTTTGTGAGCAGGTCTGTGTAATTTGTTTTGGTGAATCATATATTGTTAAAAATAGGATTGTTTATACTAAAGGAACTCATTTTCCCAGTGTTTATCAATGTTACCCAACCTTGCCATCTTGAAGAAATGGCTGACTAGGGAATTCTGGGAGTCGAAGTCCACACAAGCTGCCAAGGTTGAAATCAATGGCAGCAGATTACAAAAATCTCCTTGGCAGAAAATCTTTTTCATCACTTGCTACCTGGTCCTCTTTTATTGGAAATATTACTGATTAATCTGTTTGTGCAAAACATGTGCTATGCCAGATTTCACTGAGTTATTACTGTAAGGTGTAGGATCGTTGGCTACACAGACATTTTCAGGACATCAGCCTTAGCCAACGTAAGACTTTTAGCTCTTATAGCTTTGGAAGCAAAAGAATCACCCCTGCTCACCTCAATGGTAGAAGCCTTCAGCAATGCGATTTGGTCTTCTCGCGAGAGCTGCAGGAAGCCAGGTACTTGCTTGGCAAAGTCCACAATCTCTTGTACTGAGATGATGGCTAATTCTGTAAAATGGGCAAAGCGCTGCTGGCGTGCCTCCCGGCTGTTGGGGTCACTGCTCACTGGCCAAGGCTGGGAAGTAATGGGAAAAATAAGAGATAAGGGAGGAAATAAAAAGGGAATGAGGTCTGTCCAGTACACTTTATGGCTTATCCAGAATAACAGAGTCGGAAGGGACCTTGGAGGTCTTCTATCCCAACTCTCTGCTCAGGCAGGAAACCCTATCGCATTTCAGACAAATGGTTGTCCAATCTCTTTTTATAGAATAGAATAGAATAGAATAGAATAGAATAGAATAGAATAGAATAGAATAGAATAGAATAGAATAGAATAGAATAGAATAGAATAGAATAGAATTCTTGATTGGACACACAAGGTATTTGTCTTGGTACAAATGCTCTCAGTGGACATAAAAGAAAAGATACATTCATCAAGAATCATAAGGTACAACACTTAATAATAGTCATGGGATACAATAAGCAATCAAATCCTACTAGGAAACAGTCAATATAGATTGTAAGGATACAAGTGACAAAGTTACAGTCATACAGTCACAAGTGGGAAGGGATGGGTGATAAGGAGTGGTGAGAAGATTAATAGTAATAATAATCCAGACTTTGTAAATAGTTGGACAGTGTTGAGGGAATTATTTGTTCAGCAGAGTGATAGCATTTGGGAAAAAAATGTCCTTGGGTCTAGTCCTTTTGTCCTTATAATCATGGAAGTCACAGTTCAACTTATTCTGGAGACCATTAGGACAGGAAAGCTGTTCTAGAAAGTCATTAAGACTACTGCCTGCCTTTGCCATAGGCTGTAGCCTTGGAACTAGCCAGGACTTTACACCAATTTAGGTCTCTCTCTCTCTCTCACACACACACACACACACACCCACCCACTTACTGTGACTTTGGGCTGATCACTAAAGCTCCTCTTGTTGCACTGCTGTTGGGCCGCCACCAACTGCTGGATCATGCCCTCCTGCTGTGGGGTAAGAGGAACTGGCTCAGGCTGGGATAAAGCAGGATCACAGAGCAACGGAGGTACTCGAAGTACTTCGCCTCCATCTCTGTCCCCAGTTGGAACCCCATCTCCCTCGTGCTTAGTGATCTTCTTCTTGCGGATTTGCTCTTCTGAAAGGACACCTGGAGACAGAGAGAGAGTCTGGCATGAAATGAAAAGACCTCAAAAGTTCAACAGAGAATTCCAGATGCACTTAACATTTTGAAGAATCATCTTTCTCAACTGTGGGATGCACTGCCCAGAAAAAAATATTTTTTGCCTCAGTACTATTTTCCCTCAGAGTACAATCCAATCTATCCCGTTGACTCAAAACTTCACACTTTCAGCATTTTTTTTTCTTTTTGATGTTTGTAACTTCCCAGTTTCTTACTGATAAAAATAAGGATCATTCGGCCTATCAAATGTGGACAGTACTTCAACTCCCATCCTTTCTCACTATTGGTTATTTTGGCTTAGTCTTCAGCGCCATCTGGTGGGTTATAGATCTCTCATTTCTGCAGCAATGTTTTTCAACTGAAGCAACTTCAAGATAGGTAAGATTTTAATCCCCAGAGTTCTCTAGCCAGGTTAGTTGGTGAATTCTGGGAGTTGAAGTCCACACATCTTAAAAGTTGCTCAGGTTGAGAAACACTGTCTTAGAGTGTTCAATCTTTAAAAGGTCAACGAAGCATTTAGAATTCTGGGAGCAAATTTTCCTTCCTGCCTTCTCTCCCAACTTTATTCCATTGGGATGATCCCTGCTAGTCTGCTGGTTCTGTTTATTTCCCAGACAGATCAATCCCTTCCAAAATGAAGCCATCAATCATCTATTTTTTAAAGAATTATCCCTAGGATGACAGGGCCCAGTGCCATTCTTGGAAATCATTATAATGGAGGCAGTGCCTGCACCAGGACAGTTCCCATTCCTAGCTAGGCCCTGAGAAGTGACCTCAACTGGTTGTAGTGGCTAAGATTCCATGACCTACATTCTTCCCGCATGCCTGCTTGTCGGCATTTTTTCAACCGGCATTCCTGGCACTTCCGGCGCATGTACATGTCCATGTGGCACTGCCCACTGCCCTTGCAGGTATACTGAGCTCCTTTGATGAGACTGCGCCGGAAGAAGCCCTTACAACCCTCACAACTCAGGACATTATAGTGAAAACCCGAGGCCTTGTCACCGCACACGCTGCAGACTTCATCCCCCAACATCTTGGGGGCAGGTCCCTTTTTGCGTTTGCGGGCTGGCTCCTCAGCTGCAGAGGAAGAGAGAGAAAACCAAAGATAATGACTATAAGAGAAATAGGGGTTTCCCCCACACACAAACACTTCTTAATTGCCAAGCATTAATTTCAATGTTTTTAAACTGCTCACATGCCTGACTATTGCCGAAAGAGTGTACTTGGTTTATTCTTAACTCTTCTACCATCTCCAGTGGCCAATCATTTGATAGCATTTAAAAAAAATAAGCAACCATGAGTCATGATGGAACATATAAGACTGATAGAGAAGGGATTGCATTTTATTGTGGTTAGTGTTAAGCAGTGTTTTTCAAACATTTAAGATGCATGGACTTCAACTCCCAGAATTCCCTAGTCAGCATATTTCCTGTTATATCCAATTAGACAGGCAGACTTAACCACTCTTCCTCCTCTTTTTCAAGTGGTATCTAGCTACAAAGTTCGTGAAAACAGAAGCTTTTGCCCTGGATCTCCTTTCATTTATTTAGCTACTTGCTACCAAACTACACAATCTAAAACACTTGTTCAGCTCTCCTAAGCTTTTATATCATGTTGAAAGTGCCTTGATGGTTTTTAGTGGTTTGTGGCTTCCATATTCCTGTGAAAATATGTGGTTATTATCTGCTTCTTTCAGTTCCTGAAAGTCTTGAGTGCAATCTTTGCAGTATATCCATATGTTACCATATATGAATTGTAATTTTAAATGAGGCAATGGGCAAGTTGGAAATTATAACAACTGAACTAGCTAAATAATCAATTTAATTAAGTATTAATCAAATTTCATTTTTGACCAAACCAATTATTTTTGAGATTGATGCATCAATATGAAAAGAGTGTCTTTTTGTGCCACCCATACCAATATAGTTGCTTAGTTATTCCCACTGGATGGAAGAACAATCAAATCAGGACAGGCTGCATAAGTACATTATCCCTAAAATAAAATAAAATTCATGGGAATCTGGCCTATTATTTCATACAAACTAGTTATTTTCTTCAAATTTCCATATAGAAAAAGAACATACAAACATTTAAAACATAACAACACATGGACTTTTGCTTTAAATTCTTACTACAACTGTACAGGCAGTCCTCGATTTATGACTGATTTCTTGGGAACTGTTTGAAGCTATGACAGACCTCCCTCCACAACCACATGATCATACTTCAGATACTCAGCAATCAGGTCACATTTACAGCTGTTTACAGTATCTTGCAGTCATGCAACCACATTTTATGTTTTTGCCAAACATTCTCAGTTAATTCAAGTTTTCAACAAAATTGGGCCTATGGTGAACTATTGCTTCGCTTAATGACTACGGCAGTAACTGAAGGGTCTCTGCAAAAAAAAAATTGTAAAATCAGGTTGGTCATTTGGGCGACCTGATTTATGACCATCACGTTAAAACTGTGATGGGTTTGCTTATTACAGCAGTAATTCAGGACTACCTGTAATAGTAATTTCCGCAACAATATTTCCCTTTCTAATACACTTCAGATTGCTGAATCGATTATTTTGCTCACCAGTGCTGTGCGTAGAGCTTTCGCCATCATCTGTGCAAATTACTTCAATTTTCACTGTGTTCTGAGACTCTGTCTTTGCCACTGACCATTCATTTTTGATCTGTGAAGTGGGCTCCCCACAGTCTGTTTCTTTGAAGGAGGAGGAAGGAGAAGTGGAAGGAGGAAGAGGAGGAGGAGGAGGAGAGGAAGTGGAAGAGGAGGAGGAGGAGAAGAAGAAGATTAAACTCTGAAAAGTTTCTTCTTCTTGTTCAGCAGTGGGCCATCTGGTTGATTTTATTAAGCTTACCTTGTGATAACTGAGGCTCATTGTTGCCTGTTTTGGCCATCTCAGGGCATGAGCCACGGCAGCATTATATAGCTAGCTTTTGAATCAGACAACAAAATAGTCCCTTGGAACTTAGCTTCTTCAGTCCTCTTTCATTTCCTTGGGAAAGACAAAAGTCCTACCATTCTCCGTCTTGTCCTGGGAGAAGTGCTTTATCTCAAAAGTTGTGCTCTCCTGCCTGATAGGAAAAAGAATCCATATGCACCTAAGTGCGCCCTCAAATAACCAATTCTGCAAACAACATAGGGAAACTATTGTCACATGGATCAAAAGTAGCTACTTTGTGAAACATAATTAAAAAGATAAGCCAGATTTACTGAGGAAGAGCAACAGCTCTTATCTATGATGGCTCCATGGAATATCCATATTTGGAGAAGCACATCAGTGGATTCTAGATGCTGAGGGCAATAGCATAAATAAATTGTTTCTTCATACTATGCTTGTGATAAGGCCATTTTAGAAATTATTACTAGATTGCCTTTGCCTTGATTTAACATAAGTCTACTTCTACACCAATGATGAGGAAACTGTACTTTCAACTAAATTTCAAAGACCTCAGCAAGTAAGAGAATCACAAGCAAAGAATGTCTGCCTTTCTCACTGGACAGGAAACAAAGGATACAGAGATGGGGGAGACGGAGGGGGGTGGCGAATAACAAACAGAAAAGAGGAGAGAGAAAACTTCCACCTACATGTAATTCTTACTAAGGTGAATAAGGTTCACAAGATACAACTATTAATAGACTTTTCCCCACGAATATACAAAAGGGAAAATGTGAAAAAGGATCATCTTCATCCTATATATCAACAGCTCCTCATATCTTTTATTTTTGCATCTTCCTATGTCAACCCTCCCCTTTCAACATTTATCCACAGGCAAAAGCTGCTTATTCTCCTCCCCTGATCTTCTTTTCCAAAACTGTTACTTACCCTCATATAGTTATTTGCTCTATGTCAAACATTCCATGAGAACTTTATCCAAGGCAGGGAAGTTGTCCTTAAATTGTGTTTCACCTTCCCCACCCCCCAAATATTGAAAGATATTCAGCTAATATACATAGCAGGGTTTGTGGAAGGGGCACAGCAGCAGTTATTAAGAAGGGGGTACAGATGATATAATTACTGCCTGGAGGTAAAAGAAAGAGGAAAAAGCCTGAAAAAAGAAAGAGAAAGAAGAAATCAGCAAATTCCTTTATTGTACACCATAATATATGATTGTGTGAAGGGCATAAGGCAGTTTGACTAATACTTAGTTTTCAACATGTTGATACGGTTTCCTCTTATATGTTCAACAGTATTAAAATAAAAAGTGAGTAACCTATGGCTCAAAGCCACATACAGAGCCTAAAACAGTTTTTTTTTGGCAACCTCAGATCTCAATTATATTAATGAATTTTGTTTTCCTGCTCTTTCCCAAGGTGTGAAACCTATAAAAATTATTACTGAAGTCTAAAAGAAGTTAAATAACATTTTTGAACAGCTAAAAATATCAACAATCCACTTACCCCAAAGTCCTCCCTGCAAAAAGCCAGAATTCTGGCTAGCTATGACAAAGAAATTTGAGGAAACAAGTTCACCCAGAAAAAAATGTAAAAACCCTTGTACATCCTATTAATATATTTACTAATATATTCTTTTTATGTATTTATCAATAATATATGCTTTTGTTACCCTATCTTTGTGACAAATACCAATATAATCATACATCAACCAAATATTTAAAAAACCTAATTACAATTAGGGACTCCTGCTTTAAATCCTTAAGGCATTTATTCATAGCTATGATGCCCAGAATTATTATCTTAACATACAATAGTCTCTGAATGAAGGCTGATGTAAAAAATTGTAACATTTGTGTAACTTTCAAAAGAGAGGTAACATTCTGAGATCTCCAAATTTTTAATGTAGTCTATTTTGTAAGGGTTCCCCCACCCCACCCCGCCTGCCCCTCAAATAAGCTCTCAAAGCAAACTTATCGGGAGGCCTGGCACCCCTCCAAGCTAACGATCTTCCACTCATTGGAAACTGACGTCTCCTCCCACTTGTAAGTTGCCCTAGCCAACGGTTTGAAGCATTTGGTGTCACACCTCTTCCTTCGTCGCTGATCCTCTCCTAAAAGCAGGGCCAAGATTTCTCTTTCCCAAGTTCTCTGCCTCCCTCCCACCTCAACGAGTCGGAGGAGTGATCTGGGGATCCTCCCTGCTCAAAAGCCCCAAACCTTTCGACACCGCTCCAGTCTCGCTCAGAAAACCTTCCCTGACCGCACAGGATTTACCCCCGAGAAAACCAATATGGGACGACGGAGTTAACAGGATGCAAGCAGCTGAGATCTCTACCCGTCTTCTGAACTGGGGACTGCGGGGGAGTGCAGTTTTACTTCCCAGATTTGCTCCAGAGCCTGCGACGCAAGGAACCGGGAGCCCAGCCACTATAACCCCCATCCTCGCCCGGTGGATACCATGAGATGTCCCTCTCCCGCGTACAATACTTCGAGACCACTCTTTACCTTCTGTTGTCTCGGAGTCCCACCACTTGCCTAAACCAGTGAAAACACTTCTTTCGCATACAGAAGCGAAGCGTTTCCGGGAACCCTGAGTAGGCGTCACTTCCTTTCCAACGTGGGAAACCACCCCTTCTCTGGAGGGCGCGCCATCCTCTTCCTCTGCTCTACGTTTGGCGTCGCGCTACTAGCTGAATGGGGGGGGGGGGGGGGGGGGTGCCGCACACCACGGGGGGGGGGGGGGGGGGGGGGGGAGGAGAGCTCTTTGTGCTTCCAGAAGGGGGGAGGGGAGGTGTGTGTGGAGGGGGGAGTTGTGCAATTCGGACTCCATTTAGCCACATCACAAGACTCTGATTTGGCAGCCTCATTTATATCCACTTTGCTGAAGCAAGTTCCGTGGTGATGGTTCACTCTTCAACCACGGGGTGTATTTTTTGCGGGCTCCAGGTTGCTTTTCACAACGTCTTCACACAAAAACAATGCATTGATTAAAGTTCTCTTTTCCCTAAGAAGCAAACCTTGGATGTTCTATATAGAATCCAAACATTCTAAAGCCAAGTCAGATTGGACTTATTTTATTCTCATGGGTTATGTTATACATTTATGCAAGTACAATTACAAACTTTATTTGGCCTTAGAACTACATCAAACAACCGCAGTGAGAGACCTCCACATAATTTGATATATAGTGAGTCTGACCTGTCTGGAATGGCAATCTTGTTAAAGTGCATCTTGATAAGTACAAGATGTCTTAACTGCTGGCAGATAATTTATATATTCATCGGAATGCATAGGGAATATTTTAATAAAGGGAAGAAGATTCCTTTGTCTCAAATCAGAATGAAATTCACAGTTTAAAAGAACATGTTCAATAGATAAGATTTCACTTGTCACAACTGGGCATAAACCAGGGGTGGGATTCACATTTTTTAACAACCGGTTCTGTGGGCGTGGCTTAGTTGGTGGGCATGGTTTGGTGGTCTTGTTATTGGCTGGGCGTGGCCAACTCAATATCACATCAAGGCATGCATCTCCTTGATATGGAGACAAGCCTAGATATTTTTTATGCATGTTATCTTTTCTAGATCTATTTTAGAACCGTGACTGTAGTTTTCATTTGTTTCCTATGTTAGAATGGTAGGAAAGTACCTTCAGTTTTTAGAACTCATGGTCCATATTTTTTGTTTCTGATCATTTTGATCATTTTCTTTTCTCTGGACTGGTTTTGATTTTTCTGAGTACTTCCTGAAGTGAGGTGCACAGAACTGGACACAATGCTCACAATAGAATTCAACTTTGCATCATTAGCCTCTACAAAAATGCACATCCCCCTGTTATCAAAATTTGGTCTCTTCTCATTTTATTCAGTGACAACTAATTTTACTGTCATTGGTGAGATATTTTGTCAAAAACATTCTGGTAATTTAAGAATACAATGTCAGCAGGTTAATAATTCCATTGCTGATTTCTTCCAAGAACTGCATTTTTATGGACCTGATTAATAGTCTTTATCTCTATATCCTAGATAAAGTTGAAGTTGCATGTAATTACCAATATTACCAATTACCAATATTCCCTTCCACTTGTTTTCTCTAAGCATTGTGTGTTACATATCATCTCGGTCAAAGTTTCTGTGGTATTACACTGTTCAGATAATATCCATCACTTTCTCAGTCAACTTGAATATAAAGTTATCTTTATTGAAAATTTAAAAAAATACATTATTTACAACACTGAGATATTATTTGACATCTCAACTCAGGTTTTATCTAGATAAACATAAAATGGAATATCGTAATGGCTGCAACTTTAAAAGATATCAAGGGCATTGGACAAATACAAACCTAAAGTTGCAAAGTCCTGAAGACCTGGCTTTGTACTTGCAATCCTGCTGCCTATGTGCAATGAAGCCATTTCCTGTTTACACTGAATGATAATTATTGCTTTTATAATTTTCTCAGCTGCTATACATTTTATATTTTTTGTATATGTTAGTTTATCATTTCATCATTTTTTAAATGTTGTTAGCCATTCAGGGTCATATATTTTAAATAGGCAGCCATATAAATATGTGAAATAAATAATTGCATAAAATAGTTCCAGGATTCATAGGAATCATAAGAGAAGTTATCTTATGATTAACACTGCAGGAGCTTGGGCTTGGTGGCATACTTTTATTTTTATTTGATTTGTCAATCGCTTACAAGATAATAAGTATAAGTATATACATAGTTATGAATACATGAAATGGGTACATATAATAAAAATAAAAGAAACAATAGGACAGGGATTGGTGCACTTATGCATGCCCCCTACAGACCTCTTAGGAAAGGGGTGAGGTCAATAGTAGACAGTCTAAAGTTAAAAATTTTGAGGTTTGGGGAAGAAACCACAGAGCCAGGTAGAGTATTCCAGACATTGACCACTCTGTTGCTGAAGTCGTATTTCCTGCAATCAAGTTTGGTGTGGTTTGGTGAGTTTGTATCTATTGTGTGCTCTTGAGTTGTTATGGTTGAAGCTGGAGTATTCATTGACAGGTAGGACATTGCAGTGTATGATTTTATATACCATACTTAGATCAGACTGAAGACGGTGTAGTTCAATGTTTTCTAGGTCTAAAATTTCAAGTCTGGTGACATAAGGTATTCTACAACGAGTAGAGGAGTGGAGAACTCTTCTTGTGAAATATTTCTGGACTTTCTCAACTGTGCTAATATCAGATACATAATGTGGGTTTCAGACTGATGAGCTGTATTCGAGTATTGGTCTAGCAAATGTTTTGTATGCCCTAGTTAGTAGTATGATATTACCAGATAAAAAGCTACATAGGATTAGGTTAACAACTTTTAATGCTTTTCTGGCTATGTACTTACAGTGGGCTCTAGCACTTAGATCATTAGAGACGAGTATTCCAAAGTCCTTTATACAGCTTGGATCATCAAGGTCTTGACTATTCAGCTTGTATTTTATTTTCTGATTTTTTTGCCAATATGTAAGACAGAGCATTTATTTGTTGAGATTTGAAGTTGCCATTTGTTTGACCATTCTGATACATTGTCAAGATCTTTTTGAAGGGTAACAGTATTGTCTGTGGTATTGAACAGCTTTACATCATCAGCGAAGAGAACGCAGTTGCTCTTAATATGATCACAGAGGTCATTTATGTAGAGTATGAAGAGAGTTGGTCCTAGAACACTGCCTTGAGGGACACCACTATTGACAGGTACAGAATTTGATAGGACACTCCCAATTTTGACCATTTGTGGTCTATTTGACAGGTATGCTTCTATCCAGTTATGCAGTTGTCCAAAGATACCATAAGATTTTAGTTATAGGAGTAGTTTTTCGTGTACCACTGAATCAAAGGCTTTACAGAAGTCTATGTAGATTGATTCTATTGCTTTGCCCTGATTGAGTTGTGTAGTCCATATGTTTTTGCAGTGTAAGAGTTGCAGATTACAGGATAGTTTTTTTCTGAAACCAAATTGTTAGAGAGTAGGTTGTTTGTCTCTAAGTGGAGGATAATGGATTGGTTAATAATTGATTCCATGACTTTACAGGTGGAAGTGGAATCCAAAGTGTGGTTCTTATAGGGCTGTGCTGCTCAATCCTAACCTCATTCAGAAAAGCATAATCTATCTTTTTAAAAATTGGTATTCTATACCTGAGAAATATTTATTCTTTCTTTGAAATCAGGCTGATGAGTGAGGGAGTTATAAGATTGTTTGTGTCTTCCATGATGCAGTAGGAGAGTTTCTCAGCTACAACAGCTTGAAGATATGTGTACTTCAACTCCCAAAATTGAAATTTGCACTTCTTCAGATTGCCAAGGATGAGAAACACTGCAAGAGAGCATTCATTATAGTAGTGGCTTAAAAAAACAAGGCTAGATAAAAATAAATCTTAGCTGGGCATGAAGTTCCCTGGATGGGCCCTGCTAGTCAGTTGTATGCTTTATCTCAAATGCATCTCATAACAACAAAAAATAAAAAATGATTAGAGTACAGCCAAAGATTCCCTTTCCTCCTTATGGAAAAAAGGTCAAAATTAATATAACATACTATTTTTAGTCTACAATACCCTTCAATTACACATTCCGCATACTTCCAACTCACTTAACAGAAGGTGTATTTTCCATTGTGCCACATCAGCCTTTATATTTAACCAGCAGGTCCCATCTGATAGACATCTTCAATACATTTATTTATCTTCCTGATGGTGATTTGTTTAAAATTTTCCCTGATTGCTTTATTCTAAACAATCTGGCTGATTCCAGCTTTGATCATTACAATAGCGACTCAGTTCTCAAGGGGCTATAAGTGGGTAGCGGGGCGGGGGACGGGGACGACGACTAAGGGATACAGAGCAGATGGTCTGCATGCATCCTTGGCTGCAGCCGTGTACGAGGCAGACCCCGGGGTCTTATTCTAGCTTCTTTTCCCGGAAGATCGAAGAATGAAAGTTTCAGGAAACAGCAACTTAGCAGCGGAGAATGATGGGCGCATGCGCAGACCGGTAGGGCAAACTTTAAGAGGAATTTTGAAGGAGCTGGAGAACGTTTCGTGCTGAGTAGGTAGAAATTTTTTCTGCGCTAGTGGTTGTGGGTTAAATCTATTCTTCGTCCATCCTAAAACGGAGTTCTTTATCCCAAAATAGGGTGAGAAAGGGCAAAGAGTGGGAGAAGAGATTCGGGCCAAAACGGGGTGGGAAAGGGCAAAGAGTGGGAGAAGAGATTCGGGCCGAGAGAGGCAATGAATGAGCCGCGGGAGAAGAAGCTAGAAATGCAGGTTTCACCCTGTCTGGTCTTCTCTAGAAATCCCACCTGACTCATTTCAATTTGCCTCTTTTTAGAGGTTGCGTTTAAAGTTGTATTTTAGTTTTAGACTGAGTTGAGCATCTGAAAGTCAGTCGAAAGCTCTGATAAGAAAATACTACTTTCGGGTATTGTAAGTATAATTTATTGCTCGGTTTTGAGAGAGGAATTATGATGGCAGGGTTGAATTGTAAAGGGGGTTTTAAGAAACAGATGAAAGAGGCAGAAGAAGATATATATTGGCTAGAGGAGTGTTTCCCAACCTTGGCAATTTTAACGTACAAAGAATGGACTTCAACTGCCAGAATTGTTGTATATAGATTTCAACTCCTAGAATTCCCCAGCCAACATCTTAGTTGAGAAACATTGGGTTAAATGGTTGGACTGGAGAGGCCTTAGGTCCCAATCTCCATTTGATCACAAAACTGACTGTTTGATATTTTGATGTAGTTTACTTCCCATGAAAGCTGTGAAGATAAACAAAATTACATAGCCCCAAATTATGCTTCCTACTGCACCTTGGAGAACAGGAAATAAATACAAATCCTAAAAGAAGAATATCATATGTGGAGCAAGGAAGTCTTTTTTTCCCTATTACTCTGTTGAAAGTGATGCAGTGCTGTCGCCCAAGTATGTATGTTTGTGTTTGTTTGGCACAAACAATGATCCTAGCATGATTTGATTCTGGATCCTACAGGATGGATGAATAGATACCTTCGATTTCAGGCAGGCAACTAAATAAGATTCTTGCAAATTCAGGAGAGAACGGGAATGTGACCATGGTTAAGATCTATCCAGGGAAACAGAAAGCAGGTGCAAGAGATGATGAAAAAAAAAGGCAGCCGGCAGAATAAAACTAATACAGTATTTTCTGTGGGTTTGTTTCCCTTTTCCTTTCAGGGGTGATGGTAGTTGGATGAAGAAAACTCTTCCCTGCTTTGAAGCACCAGCCCACCCTTGCATAGTTCCAAGCTCATGGCTGGAAGTCCAGTGCCCCCTAGGAGGAAGGTGGTTGAAGAGACACGGCTGGTGTTAGAAGCATTCTTGCAAGGGGTATTAAACAGCGGAGAGGATGGGGTCCCAGGTCATGTGGGCCGTGGCTATCATGACCCCCAAAGTTACATGTCCAGGTAATGACTTTGCAGTTAAAGATTTGGTTTATCTGTAAAGGAAGGAAATAAACAGTGTTTCTCAACTTTGGCAATGTGACAAAGTGTGGACTTCAACTCTCAGAATTCTCCAACCAGCAGGGGCATTCTGAGGAAGCCTACATATTGTCAAGTTGCCAAGGTTGAGAAACGCTGAAATAGTGGGGTTTGAGCAGAAGTCCAATAATCTATAGATGGCAAGGGCTTCTATAGTATTGAAGCTTGAAATCCAGACTTGGATTTTGTGGGATTAATCTTCTGGCCTAATAGAAAGGCGCTTGATTTTAGTAGAAATTTGAAAACAGAGAGACAAGAAGCTTAATTTGACCAGAAGTGCTGTGATAGTCAGATTTTTTTTTTTGAAACACTTCTTCCAGTATCTCCACCCTGACATACAAAATAGCAGTTTGAGACTCATTTTCTCCAGAACACTATTACCATGTCCATTTCATTAACCCATCCTTTTAATATTATATAGCTAAAGTTTTTTCCCCTACCTCAAATATTTAACCTTCCTGACTTCATTTTTTAAAATAATTTCCCCAACCCTTTACCATATGTGTTGTTCTGCTGCTCCTCAGAAACCATTTTATTACTTTCAGTTTCATGAGATCAAATGGATTTGCTGCTCTGAGATGCTTTTTACAGAATAAGAGAAGAAATATTTGCAAATAAAAGAAATGACAAAAATCAACCAAGGAGGTTGAGGAGAACAACAGACCACACTTCCCATTTTCAGTGTGCTTTCTTCTGTCCACAGGTCTCCTGTAGAACATTTTCCAGAGTGTCCTGCCTGTAGCCCTGTCCATGAAGGAAGTAACTCTGTGGAAGGGAAAAAACATGGCTTCCGCACCAGCATTAAACACCTGTTGAAGAAGCGGTCCAGTTCTCCAGGACGCTCAGATAATCTGCCCTCCCCTGGAGACTCTTTAAAGAAATCTAAGTCAGGACCTGAAGGGACCCACCGCAAGCACCACTTCTCCTTCAAGGGCCTTCTGAAGAAGAAGACTGCTTCAGTAGAGTTAACTGACTCAAGTGCTCTCCCCAAGCGGCCTGACACTTTACCTGTCATAACCTGCTATTGTAAAAAGCAGGCAGCTGAGCCAGAAGAGGCCCAAACAACAGGCAGTATGAAGCTTTGCTCCTTACTCTGTTTTCTTCTTCTTTCTTAATTGTAATGCTCAGACCTTGCTTGGAAGGATGGATAGGAACATATCTTGGCTTGTTGGAGAAAGAATAAGATAAAATTATGTTTTATCTTTCCAATGTTCATATTGAACAAAAATTTGAGTCTGGGCTTATATTTGCTCATTTTTAATATATTTTCAACTTTCTTGAAGTAATGGGAACTTCCTGACTCCAGGCAGGATGCAGCCCTCAAGATCTTCTTATTAGCCCACTCAGACCAAGGTAGAAATCCCTCCCACTTTCCATAACCTATTTGAAAGCCAGTTCAGATCATTCCATAGTTCGCTGCATGTACTCAAGGGTCATCTTATTCTTGGCACCCAGAGGAACAAGACGTTACCTGTTTATAAGGCCTGCTTGGCAAATCATTGACTTCTCCAAATAGCGAGTTCAAAAAGTCTGTTAGCAAATAAATTTGAAAGCAATTTCTATTGCTATTTTGAGGGATTCCATTGCTAAGCTATAATTATGGTTGGTAATTGACTTCAGGAACTTTTTTTTAATGCTGTCCTGTCTTTTTCACAGAGATCAAGGACATTTTTTGCTGGCTTCCCCTTAGCTAGACAGATTGTAGGCCTCGTGTGGTTGAGGTCAATTGAAATTAGACAATAGGTAGCAGAATTTAAGAAAAGGTTATACTTTTTTTTTCACAGAATGACACAGAAAAAAAAGTTTTAAGTTTTTGGATTGGCTTAAGAATAGTAATTCCTCCACCAATCCTAACATTTGAAGTATTGCCCCCATGTCCTATTGCCCATCACTGAGCTAGAAAAATTTAAAAATACTGTAGTCTTTGATATACAACCATTTGTTTTATGATTTAAAGTTACTGTGGCACTGAAAAAAGTGACATGACTAGTTTTCACATTTATGACATCCCCCACAAACATATGCTCAAACTCTGGGAGCTTGGCAATCGATGGTTGCAGCATCCTGGGTTCATGGAATTGTCATTTGCAACCTTAGGGAGCTTCTGACAAGCTAAGTCAATGGAGGAAGTCAGATTCGCTCAATAACTTTAGTGGTTTGCTTAAGATTGTAAAATGAGTCATGACTCACTTAACTATCTCACTTAACGGAAATTGTGAATTCGGTTGTGGTTGTAAGTCAAGGATTGCCTATAAATAAACTGTACAACCTCAAGCAGTCTAAAAATCTTTAAAATACCCAATTCTTGTAGTAAAGCAAGATTGGATAGGTGCTAAATATGGATATTTCAGGAAAACTTGAGCTAAAAATAATTCTGTCTGTAGGCGAACAACAAAAAACAATTTGGATATACTCCCTAAATTAATGGAAAACATGCAATATTTTTTGCTAGAAGAAATTAATTATTGGATTAAGGAAGTTATACTTAAGAAATCTTGTCCCACAATTTCAAGTATATCCTTTCTATCTCTACCTCCTATCGCTTTCTTGGTGAAGCTCATACTTGGCAATATTAATAATTTATTGGGCAAATCTGAAGTCATTCAAAAATTCAGACTGTTATATCTCCCCTTGACAATATTCATTTAATTTGCTTTTTTTAATCACTAGAACTGATAAACCGTGGTGTACAAATAACATTCCACTCCAATGTTAACATATTCTTACAGTCACTTCCCACCTTAAGTATACTTTTATAATATGATATTCTGTATTCAGGACAAAGTGATCCTTTATTGAAATAAACATTTATTTGTTTGATTTAGAACTCAGGCCCATTCAAGAGCTCAAAATAATATATAAGCACATCTTCCTCCTATATTTTTTCCCAACAACAGTCCTATGAAATAGGTTGGGTTGAGAGAGAATGATTGTTCCAAAATCATCCAGGCAGCTTCTATGGATAAGGGAAGTTTGAACTGAACCATTGTGTTACTAGTCCAAGTCCTTTAAAAAGCAGTGCAACCTAATACCTCTTTATATAATCAAAAATATAGGCCGTTTCCTTTTCCATGCTACTCTATATCAGAAATTTAATTATGATATTGTAATAAGTAAATTCAAAGCTGCTTGAAACAGTTCACCCTGTAGCATTCAACAAGGTATCATTTTCAATATATTTATTATGGCATTTGTTTAATCACATCTCTCATTGTGACTTGCATTTGCCTTTCTTCCAATTCTTTATTTTCCTCAAAATCCATTGCTTTCTGAAGAGAATTCAAAATCTCTGATATTTAAAAGTGAAAATCACCTCTTCCAAATTACCCCTCTAAATGGAATCTTCTGTTTGCCAGAAAAAAAACAAAACTCTTTTCTCTTAGAGAATTCTAATTCTAATTGGAATGACTTTTAAGTACAATTATTTCTGTATTATTAATTTTTCAATCTGTGGTTAAAATGCTGCTACAAAACTGGATCTGTCTTCATGACAAAGTATAGAAGAAAGCCATTTCCCAAATATTACATAGTTACTGGATAGATAATCAAGTTATCGATCTAATCAAGCCTCAGCAGATCACAACACTTAGGTGGTTTAGTTGATTTCAAAACACTAAGTAGGAGTAGACCTGCTTAATTCTTGATAGCAGCCTATTAGAATATTCAAGTAAAATGGGAAATAAAAAAGATCCTATAAGAAAGCAATGACAAAAACTTCTATATTGCTCTATCAAAACTATACAGGCTTGTTCAGATATTACTAGGAATTGGACTTGATTTGATGGAATCTGTACTTTTATCATGTTAGTATGGTCCAATATTCACCTTTTAGTCTTTTTGCTGTTCACTTGTTTCTGTAACCTCCATGATATACGATTTGATTTTTTTTATGTGCACCTTGCTTTAATAACTTTCCACTCTTTTTTTTCCAGATGGTGAAGCTGAGGATGCTGAGTTTTATACTTTGGTGGCTCAGAAACTAGATTACTTTGTGAAACACCAACAACGGACCAGCCCTATAGCTGCAAAAAGCTCGGTTTCTCCCAAAGATCCAAACATTACAATTTCCACAGATACAATCTCTGACAATTCAGGTATTACATTGATTTTCTTGTGTGTTTAAGCTGCCTCATCCAAAAACTCTGGGTTTATAACAGTGATAACACAGAAACCCTTTCTTGATCTTTGAATCGGATATCTCAGTGTTTTCTGTACTGCATTGCCATCTTCCTGTTTTGTTGAGACTTTAATTTCTCAAAATTCCAGCCAACTTTTGGCCAATACGTGTGGAAAGCACCAGATTAGAGAAGTATGTTTTGGATTAAATCATGGGGAAAGAAAGATGACTCTGAGTTTAAAACAATCTCTTCACCTAAAAAATAAAGCTTAGATGAAACAATTTATCTATCTCCTTTTACAGCAATCTTACAAATCTAAATAGATTCCTCCATTTTAAATTAAACTTAATTTAATTTAATTCCATTTATCTAAATTTGCGGGGAAAACTAGCCTTCCTTTGAAGAATAGGTAGCCACAGGACGATAGGGATCAAATGATGACAAGTAAATCTTGAAATCATCACAAACTGATATATTTTCCTCAGATCTTAAGATGCCTCTGACTAATTATATAATATTTATGCAATGACTTTACAACACACATGCTGTCATTTTGACATCTATGTGGCTTAAAACTGATGACTGCTCTTTCAGGGAAATACTGTTTATATTTTGGAATCATAATAATATGCTTTACTCAGTTGCCTTGGAAAAAGTGACAGAACAGTTGGATGAGAAACAGAAAGAACAAATCCTTCAGAAGTTGGTTGCCCTTCTGGAAGAACAGGCTGCTGTCTTCAATAAAAAGGTACACATGCAATAAAAAGTTACCGCATAAAGTATTCACATTCAAAGTGCAGAGCCAGGCACTGGATGTATTGTGGTTGCTGCGTGTAATTTTACACAATGTTGAGTTGCTTTGCCAAATATATTCTTCCTTTTTTTTCTGAGTATGTTTGGTAAATCTTGGATTTTCCCTGTCTTCAAATAAGTCCCTGTTGTCTTTGATATTTCTGTTTTGACTGCATATATTTTTTATTATTTGTTTATAAAATTTATAGCTCCCCCATTTTACCTCAAAGTAACTAGGCAGCTTTTTGGGACGTAAGGTTCCATACACAAGTCATATGTTTTGTGTGATACATAAAGTTAACAAGTATATAAAAACTTGCACAGCTGAATCTGCCCATTTGTTTTTCTCTGTTTTGTTTGCGGAATTTATTTTGGTCATATTTTTGGCATGGGTTTCTTTTCGGGCTGTGTAATTTAGATTTGATAGGGAAGGTATGCTTCAGAGCAAGTAGGGATGAGAATGCAGCATCTGTCTGCAACTCACTGCAGCAATCGTAGAATACAGATACAGAGACTTTATTGAGTCTCAGACTTCATATATTCATATATGTTCCAAAGCATTATTTTTTTTAATCAAATCTGTAAAATTGCAAAACTCTAATCATTTTTTAGGGATCTATTCTGAAAACAGTACAATTTAGTACAGTTGCACTAAACCGATCATTTTCCCCAGTTCTCTGTCTGAATGCTAAGCTTTGTTTTTTAGATCTTCCATTAACTAATTGAATGCAGCCATGTTAATTTATTTGTTCAATTAATTATTTTTTTCTGTACTTTTCATGACTACAGTCATCTCAACATGGGAAAATAAAAAATAAAAATGCAATCAATTCAAGTCAATTATAAAATGTATAGAAATAATTAAGAATGGGAGAATTAACAGAACAATACATGTAAAACTTTAAAAAGAAAATAGCATTTGTGATAAAAAGCAGTAACTATAATAAAAGTCTTTCTATAAGATAGCTTACTTCTTAGTCCAGAATTTCAGAATATAGGGCAACTTTGGTAATCTGTTGCTTTAGGATGGGGATGGGCTTGATATAATCTGTTTCTCAATCATTTAGAGTGCCTGGTACTTATAGATAAATGAAAGTTTTAGAGTATTTAATAAAACAGTATATGAACAGATAACATGAGTATAAATGGCTTCAATTTAAATAATCAAAATATCATGCTTATTTATCAGTACTTCATATGTAAACTTTTCTCTAACTTCTTTTTTCACTTTTTGCTTTTGTTAAATGAGTTTTTCCTGTTCCGCTGACTACTGCCAACCTGTCACTGCTTCTCTCTTGTAGTTCATATAGCCCCCTGCTCTACTTGCCTAATAAAGAAATGCCCAGTTAAGTGTTTCTTTGCCTTACATTCAAGCAATAATATCATTTTATCACATCCACAAACTGTATAACTCTCCATAAACCAGCAAATAGGGCACTTGAACTGAACTTCTTTGTTTTGGGGGGTTTGTACTTTTGCAAGAGACATGATTTTATATCATTTTTAATAGTTGCATTATTTCCCCCAAAGGACCATAGAAGCAGCTAATTCAGAATTGGTTTTATAGACCTTTGCTGGAGCTACTGCAAATTCAAAGTTGCAAATCCCATAGGAATACTTCAGTGTTCAGAGTATTTAGGTAAAAAGTTACTAGACCTGAATTGCATATGTAAAACAAATTTGTAATGGTATTGATCAAGTATGTAATTGTGGAATCTTATGTTTTCTTCATCTCATGTACACAAAGGTGTATCTTCATATAAATAAAGATTCCCCAAACATAGGCTGATTAATTTTCGGATGAGTAACTCTCTGAGAATGTTTATATACCACCTGAATTCTGAAACATTATAAAAGCAGAATATAATTGAAAATAGTAGGATTTATTGTATGCATGCTACCCAAGTTCATTCTTTTCACGGATATACTCAGGTTTTTTTCTTATTTGTGAAGCCATATTTTCATACTCTCCAAGAAAGGAAAAAGTATGTCAATCAAAGGGAAAAAAAACAGGATTTCACTCCTGGACTAGATTTTGAATTTTTTAAATGATGACTCTTTGTTAAGTACATATTACTTAATGAGTATGCTCTTGAGTTCCATAAACTTTCTAAGGAATAGCTTCCAAATGAAAGAAGAACAGTAGTAAAATGTTCTTAAGAGTAGGGAGTTGCCTAGTCCCACACAGGCACCTCAAGCAAATAGCTGTCCAGCCTTTATTTTTTTCACCTCTACAAAAGGAGACTCCAACTCATGTCTCTATTGTCTATAAGAAAATGTTCCTAATGTTTGTCTGTTCCTTTGCCATTGACACTCATTCTACTCCTATCAGCAAAAGAAAATAACTCCATCTTTGATGCAACAACATTTCACATATTTGAATGCTGCTGTTAGGTTTCCTCTCAGCCTTCCATCTCAGAAGTTCCTTGTCTGGGAGACAGTGAATCATCTCTTTTTAACTGCTTCCTTTAACATTTACAATCTTGCCATTCATGTCATTTTCTTTCATTGGCAGATTGAAGCTGACCCACTGCTACGCAACACTATCTCCCGTCTCTCATACCGCAGTTTTACACACCTGGCTGAAGCCTTTACATCACGTACCCCACCTGGGGTCTCTAACCCTCAGCTAGCCAAGCTAGCCCTTACCATGGAACTCACAAGGAAAGTGGCCGGCATCAACAGCCATGCAGTACATACCCTCATGGGCTACAGTTTGCAGTATATGGATATGTTCATACCTTGGCTGCAGCAGCAAGGTGGCTGGGTATGTGGAGAAATATCTGTTTCCTTGGGTTTTACTTATGCTAGGCCAGATAACAAAAATCCCCCCTCCCCCCCAAAAAAATGAAACAGAGAGAAAAAAATCCTGATTATTTTGCTCAAAATATAATTAAGGTGACTTGAGGTTCTGATTAAATACTTTGGGAAAAAACAGACATCTCATCTGTGAATTGTCTGCTTTTGAGGGTTACAAAATTGGAATAAGACACCTTATTTAGCTGAATATATTGTCTAAAAGTTGCAACTAAGAGCTCATACCATAAGCATCTTAGTTCTATATTAGAAAATAACCTGTATTATATGCATAATATATAATATATAGTATATGATCTTGTGTTGTCTATCCTGCATTATCAAGTACAATTGTGTTGCAGTTGGCAGCTGACAATTTATTTTTTCTTACAAAAAAAAAAAAGTTAATTATTATAAGTAACTATAGCAGGAGTGTCAAACTGGATTTTTCGAGGGTTAGATCAGCATTGTAGTTGTCCTCTGCAGGGAGGGGGGAGAGACTGGACAGACGTCTCCTGCAGCATCCTGCTGGCCAAAAGCACCCCGTTTTTGGCTTGGGTGGCCTCCTGCAGTACTCTGCCGGCCAAAATGGGGTGTGGGAGGGCTCATGCGGCCACCCCACACCCCATTTTGGCTGCCAGAGGCACCAGGGGCTGGTCCTTTGCTATTTCCAGGCTGGCACTGCGGGCCAGATTTAAGCACCCTGAGGGTTGGATCCAGCCCACAGCCTTGAGTTTGGCACCCCTGTACTACAGGGATATTTTCTTGTGGTCAAGGGACTGCATTTTTGGTCTCCCAATGGAATAATAGTGATATAATAGTATTGCTGCAATGGGCCATTTTTTTGTCTTCTAAAATCAGAGGGTTTCCTATACTATATGTCACAATTCTGTTTGTTGTCAAAGTTGGAGCATAATACAATGGAAAAGCAAGAAAGGAAGGGAGAGTGGGGGGTGGGGGAGAAAAAGGGGGAAAGAAAGAAAGAAAGAGAGAGAAAGGAAAGGAAACCAAGCAAGCAGGCTTAATGGTGAAATGGAACTAACTGTTGTTTATTTTTTTTCTTAATAGGAGAACATTGTAGCCCAGGAGGAGATATTCGACGTGCAACTTGACTGAACAAACTTCCATGCACCAGTGGCAATGCACTTATGATGAATCTTATTTGCAGAAGATTGCTGGGTAGAGCTGCTTTCCTCCTAAATTCAAAGGGACATTTTGTTTTAGTAGGCATGACTGGAGCTAATTCTGAGATATTAAGATATTAAAATATTTCTTAAAGGCTGTTCTTCAGAAATCAGAGGCAAGAAAAGTGATGCCCTCTGTGAGAGCCTTTGTCCTTCCAAGTAAGCTTTACTGAGGAAGACTAGTTGGGGTTTTTTTTCGCCCAGGATGAACTGTCCTCAGATTTTATACTTGAGTTTAAATAGATACATTCAAATCTTATTTTGTCCCTATTTTCAGATGGATGGAAATATTCAGGTGTGCCTTCTCCTTGTTCTGAATTTTTTGTTTCGAAGTGCTCTGAGAAATTCTGGGATTTTAGAACAAGAAAAAGAATTCCTATGCAAAGCTGGCTAATATGAGGGGACTCATATTACCGTAATTTCAGTGGGACTAAGTTTTGTGTAAATAGGAGGAGAAAAGAAACTTAATATCAAACTCAGGGATATGGAAGCATGTTTGTTTAACAGCAATAGCTTCCCTGAAGCACTGTGATATTTTTTTTTTGAATAAAAATCTAAAGATTCTTATATTTTGGTGTCATACTTTTCCTAGCATCTGTCACTTTTCTTTGGGCAAGCCTATTCTAATAATTTGATGAAACATAACCAACTCTTCTTTGGCTGTGCTAATGTGGAAGTGAAGTTTGGAAGTTCTGTTGGAAGAAATATCCAGGTCCAGTTCCAAGTTGGGAATAAAATGGAGGCTGCTTGGAAAGAAAAATTCTGTTTATTGGTGAACAGAACCAATACACACAGCGTGCAGTTCTGTGACAGCTGACAAAATGGAGTTGAGAGTGGGTGGGTTTTTATATTTATCTGGAATTCGTATTTGAGCTTCCTGTTCCTGTGCAACATTCCCTTTATTTATTTGATTTGTCAATCGCTTACAAGATAACAGGTATAAGTATATACATAGTTATGAATACATGAAATGGGTACATATAAGAAAAATAAAAGAAACAATAGGACAAAGAGATAGGCACATTGGTGCGCTTATGCACACCCCCTACAGACCTCTTAGGAAAGGGGTGAGGTCAATAGTAGACAGTCTAAGGTTAAAGTTTTTGGGGTTTGGGGAAGAAACCACAGAGTCAGGTAGAGTATTCCAGACATTGACCACTCTGTTGGTGAAGTTGTATTTCCTGCAATCAAGTTTGGTGCGGTTAACCTTGAGTTTGTATCTATTCTGCGCTCTTGTGTTGTTATGGTTGAAGCTGAAGTATTCATTGACAGGTAAGTCATTGCAATGTATGATTTTATATACCATACTTAGATCAACCGAAGACGGTGTAATTCAAGGTTTTCTAGGTCTAGAATTTCAAGTCTGGTGGCATAAGGTATTCTACAACGAGTAGGAGAGTGGGAAACTCTTCTTGTGAAATATTTCTGGACTTTCTCAACTGTGCTACTATCAGATACGTAATGTGGGTTCCAGACTGATGAGCTACATTCGAGTATTGGTCTAGCAAATGTTTTGTATGCTCTAGTTAGTAGTGTAATATTACCAGAGAAAAAGCTACGTAGGATTAAGTTAACAACTCTTAATGCCTTTTTGGCTATGTAGTTACAGTGGGCTCTAGCACTTAGATCATTAGAGATGAGTATTCCAAGGTCCTTTACAGAGCTTGGATCATTAACAAGATCTTGACTATTCAGCTTGTATTTTATTTTCTGGTTTTTTTTGCCAATATGTAAGACAGAGCATTTATTTGTTGAGATTTGAAGTTGCCATTTGTTTGACCATTCTAATACATAGTTAAGATCTTTTTGAAGGGTAGCAGTATTGTATGTGGTATTCAACAGCTTTACATCATCAGCGAAAAGAATGCAGTTGCTCTTAATATGATCACAGAGGTCATTTATGTAGAGTATGAAGAGAGTTGTTCCTTGGGGGACACCACTATTGACAGGTACAGAATTTGATAGGACACTCCCAATTTTGACCATTTGTTGTCTGTTTGACAGGAATGCTTCTATCCAGTTATGCAGCTGTCCGGACTCGTGCTGATTTCTGCTTCCCTTAAGATTTTTCTTTATTATTATTATTTCTCCTTTAGGGGAAATATTCTATCCTGTCTTTTTTTAATATTCCCCAAAATATTTCATTGTGAAACGGGATCCGGAGCAAGCAGCAAATTTTTTTTTTCATTAATTTTTTCTTCAGAACAAGCGGATCATAGACGTACCTAAGATAAACATGATTGAAACGGCCCCCGAGGTCGTGCAGGAGGCGGGTTGACCTCAATGGTGCCTGCAAAGCACCAATGAAAGCTTTCGGGGCACTTCCATAGAGAGGCGAGCTAGAGCGGTCGGAAAAAAAAATAACTAGGGGAAGATCAAAGCGATCATAGAAGCCCCATTACAAATTCACCCGAGGCACTTCCTGTTTCCGGGTTTTGCTCTTGGCCTCCAGTAGCTTGGAGAAGGCGGAGCGGGCTGCAGCTTAGAAACGGCGCGAGAAGGCGGGTTGCAGGAATAGCAGCATGGCAACGGCCGCGGTGAGCAACAGCCTCGTTTTTGTTCTAGGAAGAGACTCGGCTAACCCTCTTCCCCTACACGAGTACACTCCGGGTCACTAGTCCTCATTGAGCTTCTAATGGGGAACCGAAGCCAGAGTAACCCCCGTGGGATGCATTAGTAGTGCTTTTCCCCACTCACTCCCTACTAGGTTTCTGCCTGCCTGTTTTGCTTCAGATGCATTGGATTACAGCTCCCATCATTCGCCGCCAGTCCTTGTGACAAAAGTGGGAACAGTAGTTCGGCTCGTCGGGAAGACAGCATTTTGGGGACTGGGATACATTTCCATATCGTGTTAATTGCATTTATGTATAGCTTTTCTTCGTGGGGTTTACCTAGTTCTGTTTCGCCGCTTGCCAGCTTGTCCTTTAAACTTTGTAAACTAGGTTGGGATTCTGATTCTATACAGAAAGATTTTTAGCGGTGCGGTGACTTCTTCTGTACCGATTTCCTTTTGAGTTCACAAAATGTTAATCAGGTGGTTGAGACTTAGCAATAATCTTTGCACAACATGTGTATCTTGGCTAAGGTTATCCTAATGACTTTTTGCAATTTAACAATGGCTTAATGTATATTTTCCCAAGATACATTAATTCAGTTACTTATTTAAGCAAGTTGTGTGAATTGCCATTCTATTGCCATTTAGGGTGGATTTCCACTCCCAGATATCTACTGCACATTCTCATAATTTTCCTCTTATCCCCTTTCCTGAATTAGTTATACCAGGCCTATTAGGAGGGAGTTGAGACAGTGATTAACTTGTCTTCCAATGATTCTAATTAGGATTTCTACTTGTCCATTATCAGAATGGAAAAGTGCCCCCCTCCCCCCAGCAACATCCAAAACAGTTTGGTGAATATCTGAGAATTTTGAGAATTCTTGTTGCCCCAGCAACAATGGATCCTATTAAACAACTGATACACTGTCTGAAAATTTAGTGGGAGAAAATGGAATGTTATATATAGTATATTGCCAGTTTGATTTAATGGTTAAGGCACAAGGCTAGAAATTGGAGGACTATAAGTTTTAGTTTTGTGTCTTATGCACAGTATCAGTTGGGTTCTCTTGGACAGTCAATCTCTTTCAGCCCCAGGAAACAAGCAATTGGCAAACCACTTTTATAATCTTGCCAAGAAAACCGCAGCGACTTGTCCAGATGGTTGCCAGGAGTTAAAAAGTGATGGGGGGGGGATGTCATTTAGTTTGCCAAATCACATTTTGAACTATTTAAGAGTAAGGATATTAATCTAGATCAGTGGTGGCTAATCTTTTTGGTGTGCCAAAAATTGTGCACGTGCTCACACCCAGAAGGCAAGGCTACAGCCCCTGTGCATGCACGTGCAATCCCTCCCTCTGTGCCCCCTTACCTGCACTGCGCCTCACAGCTGATTTTTTGCTGGTTTGAGGCCATTTTTGGCCTCCTAGAGGCTTGAAAAAAAGCCTCTTGCAGGCTTTGCAGACCGAATAATAGGCCGGTAGGAATAATAGGCCGGTAGGAAGTGATGAAACAGGCAGAAAATCAGCTGTGGGGTGCGCGCATGTCCAATGAGGTAAGTTTGCCTGTGGCTCGCATGCTGGCACAAATGGCTCTGCGTGCCACTTGGGGCACGCATGCCATAGGTTCGCCATCATGGATCTAGATTATCTCTGACACTAAAATACCACGATATTCTAAGCACATTATTGTATGCTCGGGCTCTCATGTTTACAAAGTCTTCAGCTTGTGTCCTTTTATTCAGTGGCCATTTAAAGTTATGGTTGTGCTGAAAAAAAAATATGGATGTAGATAAGTCCCCAAAGTTCTGGCCATTGAAGTACCCCTGTGATCATGCGATCACAATTCAAGCACCTGTGTGCTCAGCTTATGGCAGGAACATTGCAGGGATCTGCGTTCATGTGATCACCATTTCCTATCTTCCCTGTCAGTTTACCACAAGTAAACTGAGTAGGGAAGTCAGCAGGGAAGGTCGGAAATCATTTCTCTCTTTTTCTCCCTCTCACAGCACTTCCCTGTGTTCAGCCTCTTCACCATTCTTTGGCCTCCTACAACTCAAACAGAACCTGTGATAGCCCTCCCCTCCCTCCTGTGACTTGTGTGCAGTCTGCACTGGCCCTTCCTCAGCCTCCCCGCACACACACCTGGAACTCATACCTCTTTCTGCTTCATGTATCTTGGGGTTAGGAGGTATCACCAAACAATGCAGTCACATGATGTCACGCAACCACATTGCTTAGCAATAGCAATTCCAGTTCAATTGCCATCATAACCCAAGGACTACCTAAATACGTGCAGTCACACAAATACAACACTTATACAAATGTATGCTATTATTCATATAGCTACTGTATTCTTCAATTTCCAGTATGACCTTGTTCGCAGTACAATGCTGCTTCAACTTGTCTTATCTATTTCTTTGCTCATCTTTCTTTTTTCCTCCTTTCTTTCCCTGTTCCAATTACATTT